AAAGAGGCAGAGCTGAGGCTTTCTCAATGGGCAGAAGTATTCTTCTGCCCAGTACGTTGCCTCTGGGAATGTCCTCTGCTTATGGGATAAGGGGCCCTCCTGGCCCTCCGCCACCTCCACCTCCTCCCTCTCCGTGATTCCAGTTCCTCTGAGAGTAGAATCAAAGTAGATTTGGGCATTGGGAAGCAACAGGCCTTGCTTCTGCTCCTTCCTGCTCCTTCCTGCCCAGCTGGCTGGGAGCTGGAGACTGATGAGCTCCTCACCACCATGGAGCCAGGCACAGGCGCTGCACGGGGATGTGAGACCAAGGGTGCAGGCTCCGATGGCGGTGACACCCCCGTCTCTGCCCCCTCAAAGCTGTGTGAACTTGTGCAGATTACTTCCCCTCTTTGGGACCATTTCCTAATCTGTAAAATGGGGCTAAAAACAGAAGCCACTGCAGAGGCGGCGAGGAGGCTGCGGTGAGGGCTACCAGACAGGAGGCTCGTGGGGCGAGGCGCAGGGAACGTTCCATAAACATGCACCGCTATTATTAGTGCCTGTGCGCTGTTGTCATTTTCCAGTCCCCCCACCCCACTGGCCAGGGGGTGGTCCCCGAAGCCCCCCTGCAGCCAGGCAGGCATGCAGAGATGACAAAAGGCAGGCAGGGCCAAGGCCCCCAATTCCCCGTTCTTTTAATGAAAATAAAGAGCCTGCAGACATCCTCCTCCTCTGCATTGTTCTGCCAAGGCAAGCAGCGCAGACTTAATACCTCCTTGGACTTGGAAAGTTCCTTCCATTCTCTCCCCTCCCCTGTCGCATTTCCTTTATCTAAATCCTTAGCTATGAAAGGGCGTATCGACAACTGGGGGCGTTATCTGGTGCAGGGGACCTTTTCCTAGAGGTGCCTCCGAGATAAGGCGTCTTATCAGCCCCCACGTCAGGGCTGGTGCCAAAGCAGTCTGATCTTTGAGGCTTGCGACATTTCCCCTCCCCCACCCTTTTTTTATTATTAAAAGTCACAAAAGACCTTGGGCTTATAAACAGCCTGATTTGCAGATCTGGTTTCAAAATGAGCAGTGCTCCCAGGATGGTCCTCGGCTGGGGGAGTCGTGAGCCCGGGTGGAGGCTCTGCGGGGCTGGCTTTTTTGCAGATGGGAAGATCGTGCGTGTTTCAGGCGCCTGCTCCAGTCCTGTCCCCAGCTTGCTGTGTGACCTTGTGCAGGGTGCTTAGCTTCTCTGGGCCTCAGTCCTCCATCTGACAATAACCAATTCTTTGGTTCAGCCATTTATTCAACACCTGTTTGTTAAATGGTTACTCTTTGCCAGGCACTGGGGAGAGAGAAAGAGGACATGGTCCTTGCCCCCTCAGAGTCTCATGGCAAGAGACAGACATGAAAATTGGAAGTTAATTTTTTAAGAGTTTATTTATTTTTAGAGAGGGGAAGGGAGGGAGAAAGAGATGGAGAGAAACATCATTGTGCAATTGCCTCTTGTGCACCCCCCACCAGGGACCTGGCCCACAACCCAGGCATGTGCCCTCGACCAGGGATCAAACCGGTGACCCTTTGGTTCGCAGGCCGGCACTCAATCTACTGAGCCATACAAGCCATGGCAAACTGGCAGTTACACCTCGGTGTGATTAGGACCACGAGGGAGGATACCCAGAGGAGGGGGCGCCAGAGTCGGGGTGGCAGCGCTGCAGGCAGAGGGGCAGCACGGGCGGAGGTCTGGAGGTGTGAGGCAGCCGGGCTAGCGGGAGGGCCAGCAGGAAGGGAGGAGAGATGAGGGAGGCAGATCACAGGGCCTTGCAGGCCAGGCAGTGAGCGTCGGGCTCTACTCTGAGGCCAGAAGAAAGTGTTAGGACCAGGGAGACGGATCTCAGTCTGGTTTGCAGATGATGGGGATGATACGAAAGGTGGAGGCGGTGGTGCACTTCTCCGTGCATGGCTGGCCCCTGCCTACCCACCCCCTGCACTGGACCCCCCCACCTGCCCCAGCCACAGGGCAGATGGTTCCTGGGAGAATGGGCAGTGAGTTAGGGGAACGGGGGGGATGCAGAAAGAAATCCCCCCTCTCCAAGTGGCCACCGCCTCTCAGGCTGCAGGGTGCTTGCTGCCTGCTGAGCCTCCAGAAGCTAGGGACCATCCAGGCAGCTGTATCGGACAGCTAGACCGGGGGAATCCTCTGTGGTCCCAAGGTGGGGCAGGTGACCTCTCGGCTCCCAGGACCACCAGGGCACCCGCCAATGCAGCACTCTGAAATCTGGAGCCCACGTGGAGGGTAGGCAAGGGTGTCTGGAGAGGCCCCAGGACAGGCAGCCTGCCCTACCCTGCTAGCAACGGTAGTCCCCAGCCTGCCCCTTCAGGCTGCAAAGCATGCTGGGATACATGGCCCCTAGGGCCTTGTGAGGCGCGGGGCTGGAAAGGGGCTGGGCTTCTGGGCCCCTGGCACCCCCTAAAAGACCAGAGGTGAGGTGGAGCTCCAGAGATGGGCATGGGCAGGACCATGGAGGAGAATGCCCTGGGTGGGCTCAGGAAGCCAGTTTATGAGAGAGGGGCCGTAGCTTCTCTGGGGTCATATCGTGGGCACTGGCTTGGGGAGGTTCCAGGCTTCCAGCCCAGGTTTCCTCAGCTTACAAGGTCATGGCCTCCCTCTTCTCTGGCCCAGTGCTGCCCTGGGCTGTGGGCCACAGTGTAGCCCAGGGGTGAGAGGGCAGGCTCACCCAGCCTCTGCTTGCTGGGTGGCCCTGAGCAGGGTGCCGCTGCTTCCAGGCTCGGGCTTCCCCATCTGTGGAAGGAGAAGCTTGGGCCCTGCAGCCAGCTGGCCTTCGCCAGGCCTCCCCTCTATCCCCTAAACCCTGCATCAGAGCGGCAAGAGGTGGACACTGCCCTGGGCTGGAGTGCGGGAGAGGTCAGGCTGTGTGCGGGGTAGCCACAGGCCTCTCACCTTCTAGGTGTGCGCACAGTTGAGCGTGTCTGTGGACTGCGCATGCGTGAGGAGGCCAGCAGGCCTGGAGGGGCGTGTCATGTGGTGTGGGTGAGGGTTCGACAGCGGGGTGCCCTGCTGCAGGAAGACACGTTCCCTGAGTGAGCACAACTGCGTGTGAACCAGGTCTGAACGGCCCTGGGTGTCCAAACGGGGCAGGGCGTGCCCGCGGGGACAGGCGTGTCCCAAAGGGCCCCACGGAGGCCCGGTCCCGCCGCCCGCTCCCATCTCGGTCCCCCAGGAGCCGCGCCGCGTCCTCACAGTCAAGGGCTTTCATCTCCGCAATAAGCCCACTTCACTCCCTTTTTAAACTGTATAATTTCTGCCTGATTGTAATGGCATATTTTAAAATTACCAGAAATCAAAGCCGGGAAGTGGATACTGCAGCTTTTATCGCGTCGCTGCGTTAAGGCTGGCAATTGGGGGGTGGGGGAGGATGAGAACCACCTACCCTCCCCCAACCCATCCCCTACTTTCTCTCTCTCTCTCTTTTTTTTTTTTTTTTGAGACAGTAATAGGAGAAAATTGGTTTTGAAACTGAATAAAAGTCCCTTTCAGTGTAAATCATTTCTTTCAGGGTACCTTTGCTGAAAGTAAAATAGAGCGTAATGAAAGGTGGCTACGTGATTGTCTTTCATTTACCGAGAGGCCTGGGCAGACAGGAGGCTGCAACCGTCTCCGGGAAATACAAGACTGGAATAATTGCGCCGTAACAAGGAGCTTGTTGTGAAATTAGTATCTTAAGAAAGTAGTGAAAAAAGGCCTTTCCTCATGAATACTTCATTATTAGAAGAAAGCAGCAGAATTTAGGGCTCCAGACACCTGTTTAGTATTAAATAACTTCCTTTTCTTCCCCTTAAACACCCCTCCCCAACTGTGCACACGCGCGCGCACACGTACTCTTTCTTCTCTTTCTTTTTTAAAACCAGCATGAGGATTGAGTTGGCCCAGCCGGGCTGCTGGGGACTCAGGTTGTGGGAGTGGGGTGGGGTTAGGAGGTGGTGAGGGCAGGGTGCTGGGGCATGAGGGGGTGTCTGGGGCTCGGCTCTCACCTGGGCCTGCCACCCCTTCCTGGGGGGAGAGGAAGAGAGGGGCCTGGCAGAGAAACCCCCGCCGTCCCCCATGGCCTCCAGGACAGTCCCTGCCTGTGTCACCCTGCTCCTCAGGGACTCAGGGTTCCCAGGAAAGTGTTCACAAAACAGGGTTCCCGTTTGTGAACGCTGGGCACCTGACTCTGGGTGAGCAAGCAGATGCGGTCCTGTCTGCAGCCACATCTGAGCTGCCACCGAGGAGACCTCTGCCTGGCCCTGGTGGCCCTGCCCTTTCTGTTTGGGGTAGGGAGCTCGGGCAGGAAGCTGTGGTGGCCCTGGGGCCTCGGCTCAGAGCTCAGTCTGGGATCAAGCCCAAGCTCAGCATGGGTCAAGGTTGGAGCCACCCTGGACATTTCCCCTCCAGGGGCACTGTGAGACCCCCCAGACGGGGGGCAGACCAAGTTCAATAAACCAAAGCACTGCGTGGCCACTGGCAGACCCTGGGCGCCCCGCACTGCGGGTTCCCAAGGCGCCCTGGTGAGGTCTTCGTCCTGGGGGGGCTCCCAGCTGACTCAGTGGGGGGTTGTGCACATCTGCTCACAGGTGGTTGCAAAGGAGCCAGGACAGCCTGCTGAGGGAACTCGGAGGGTCAGGAAGCGGGAGAACCTGAGAGGCTCGAGGGCATCAGGGCCGCCCCTCGGAGGGCCTGCACTCTGAGCTGGGCTGGGGCACATCTCAGCAGTCGGTTCTGGCCCCATCACAGTGGAAGTCCCTCATTCAGGAGACCCAGAATCTTTTCGTCCCTAGGCCACAGTTGAGCCTCTTGATGTCCCCGGGCCTGAGTTGCTGGGCTGTTTGATAAGGGAGGAAGGGTGTCTGCTTTGAAAGTCTGAAGTTCTTTGGGGCATTGGGAGGCCGCAGGCACCCGACGCCCAGCTGAGGGAGATGGGAGGTGGGCATGGAGCAGCCCATGTGACAAGTACCGCATCTCCCTTCTCACAGGGACCCTGCCACGGAGCCTGCTGTGCCTCGGGCCCCCAGTTTAGCCATGCTGGCCTGTCTGCAGAGGACCCAGAACCCACCGGGCCAACACCTGGCCTGCCCGAGCAAGAGCCTGGAGCTGCGCAAGTGTGAGTGGGCACCCTCACCCCGCACAACACCCTCTGTGCCCTCCCAGTCCCCTCCGCTTCGCCCCTTCTTTCCCACTCTGAGTCCACAGGGCTTGCTTTCAGGGTTTGGGTGCAACCAAACCATTCCCATCTCAGGCCTTGGCGAGGCAGGGGGTGCCATCCGCACCCAGCATGTCCTCCTCTATACGCCCTACCCAGTCTCGAACTCTGAGTGCCTCTAGGCCTCTGCCTGTGTTGTGCTGCCTCGCTGGAGTCCCTCCCTACAAGGGCACCCAGTCCCTTTGGCAGACTCCCAGCAGGTGTGACAAGTAGCTTCCTAGTAGCCATCTCTGACCACTGCCAGCACCATGGCCCCAACCCCAGCCCCGCTTGTGACCCCGCCATGTGCCATGTCTGTCTTGCTCACCACCATTTCCGGCCTTAGCAGAGAGTGGGACTGTGTGGAAGCAAATGGTCCTGAACGGGACCCCAGCTCTGGGCCTGGTTTGCTGTGTGACCTCGGGCGCGTCCTTTCCCTCTCTGGGCTTTGCTTTTTCAGCGTGTCCAATTAGGGAGCTGGACTTGGTACTTCTAAGCATTTTAATTATTGCAGCCTTATAATACATTTTTAAAAATTTTAACTTCATTGAGATGTAACTCATGTATCATACGGTCCACCCATTTGACGTGTACAACTTGGAGTGTTTTTAGTGTGTTCACAGAGTTTCGCACCCGTCACCATCACTTCAAGAAGAAACCCCTTCTTAACCGTTAGCAGTTGCTCCTCGACCCGCCTGCCCCCTCCCGTCCCTGCAGGTTCCCCTGTCCTGGGCTGTCCCAAGGAGGGAATCACGCGATACGGGGCCTTCTGTGCCTGGCTTCTTTGACTTGGCACGATGTTTTTGAGATTCATCCATGTTGTGGCATGCGTGGAACACGTTTTAACATTTGCAGCTGCACATTTTTCCTTATTCTTCGCTATCCCCCCAGGCAGAATTTCTTTGGCTTTTTCCTTCGTTTTTCTGTCTGAACTGTAGAATCAATTTATCTAGGTAAGAGCAAATGTCCTATTTGTGTTTTTACTAGGACTGCATTAAATTTATAAATTAGTATAGGAAGACATCGCATTTTTATGATGATGTCTTTCCATCCAAGAATGTGATACATACCTTTCTGTGTGTTCTTGTGCATCCCTTGGGAATGTTTTAATGCTCGCTTCATTGAGATCTCACACAGTTTTTGAGTTTACTTCTGAAGAGTTAACCTTTTTGGCAAGTCTTTTCTTTCATAAATGGAGTTTATTTATATAAAGGCTTTTAACTCCTGCCATCTCACTGAGATCTTTTGTTTGTAATGGCTTTTTAATTTAGTCTCTTAGGTTTTCCAGTTTACTATTCTATCACTTGCAAGTGATAATTTTACTTCCTACTTTGGAAGTTTTATACCTTAATTTCTTTGTCTTGTTTAATATTGTTGGCTACTTTCCCTAGAACAAAGAAAAATAATAATAGTGCTAGTGGACATTCTTGCTTTGTCCCTGACTTTCAACCAAATGCTTCTAAGATTTCCCTATTAGCAAAATGCTGGATTGGTGGCAAATATTTTATCAGGTTAAATACATGTCCCTCTATTCTTACTTTATTAAGAATTTTAAAAATTAAGAATGGAAGTTGAAGTTTACCAAATGACTTTTTGGAGTCTATGAAGATGATCATATGGGTTTTTCCTTTAATCTGTTAATGTGAAGAAGAATATAGATTTCTTTATTTTATTTTATTTTATTTTATTTTATTTTTTTATTGATTATGCCATTACAGTTGTTCTATTCCCCCCCTTCATTCCCCTCCACCCTACCCCCTGTCCCCACCATTACCCCCCCTTTAGTTTATGACCATGTGTCTCAAGTTCTTTAGATTCTATGTTTCCCATACTATTCTTGCCCCCCCATCTATTTTCTATCTAGCATCTATGCCACTTATTTTCTGTACCTTCTCCCCCCTTCTCTCCCCTTCTTCTCCTCCCACTCCCCTGTTGCTAACCCTCCTTGAGATCTTCATTTCTATGTTTCCACTCCTGATCTAGCTGTCCTTTTAGTTTGCTTTTGTTTTAGGTGTGGTTGTTAATAACTGTGAGCTTGTTGTCCTTTCACTGTTCATGTTTCTTTTTTTTTTTTAATTTATTTTTTTTAATTGATTATGCCATTACATTTGCTCTATTCCCCCCTCCCTTCCCCTCCACCCTGCATACCCCTCCCCCACCATTTCCCCCTTTAGTTCATGAACATGTGTCTCAAATTCTTTAGATTCTGTATTTCCCCTACTATTCTTACCCTCCCCCCTATGTATTTTCTATCTACTGTCTATGCTACTTATTTTCTGTACCTTCTCCCCCCTTCCCCTCCTCCCACTCCCCTGTTGCTAACCCTCCATGAGATCTTCATTTCTATGGTTCTGCTCCTGATCTAGCTGTCCTTTTAGTTTGCTTTTGTTTTAGGTGTGGTTGTTAATAACTGTGAGTTTGTTGTCCTTTCACTGTTCATGTTTCTTTAACTTCTTTTTCTTAGGTAAGTCCCTTTAACGTTTCATATAATAAGGGCTTGGTGATGATGAACTCCTTGAATTTGACCTTATCTGAGGAGCGCTTTATCTGTCCTTCCATTCTAAATGAAAGTTTTGCTGGATAGAGCAATCTTGGTTGTAGGTCTTTGGATTTCATGACTTGGAATACCTCTTTCCAGCCCCTTCTTGCCTGTAAGGTCTCTTTTGAGAAATCTGCTGACAGTCTGATGGGGACTCCTTTGTAGGTGACTGTCCCCTTATCTTTTGCTGCTTCTAGGATTCTCTCCTTCATTTGAATCTTGTCTAATGTAATTATGATGTGCCTTGGTGTGTTTCTTCTTGGGTCCAACTTCTTTGGGACTCTCTGAGCTTCCTGGATTTCCTGGAAGTCTATTTCCTTTGTCAGATTGGGGAAATTCTTTATTATTTGTTCAAATAAGTTTTCCACTGGTGGCTGTGCCTTTCCCCCTTCTGGTACCCCTATAATTCAGATGTTGGAGCGTTTAAAGATGTCCTGGAGGTTCCTAAGATTCTCCTCATTTTTTTGAATTCTTGCTTCTTCACTCTTTTCTGTTTGGCCATTATTTGCTTTCTTCTGGTCCACTCCATTAATTTGAGTCCCAGTTTCCTTTTCATCGCTGTTGGTTTCCTGTGCAATTCCATTCATTTCAATTAGTTTCGCCTTCATATGTTTCTCTAATTTGTGGCTATAATCAACCAGTTCTGTGATGATTCTGATGACCAGTGTTTTAAACTGTGGGTCTGAGAGTTTTGCTATTTCTTCATCGCTTAGATTTATAGACCCTGGGGCTTTGAGATCTTCTTGAGCCATTTTTGGTCTGTTCGCGCCATTTAAGTATGAGGAGCGGAGCCTTGGACTCCCAGGTCACTGGGTTGTGACGCTATATGTGGGGGCGTGGTCAGAGCGGGGAAATGGTGGCCCCCTCTGCCGTTTCATGCCGCTGAGTGAGGAGCAACACCTTAGGTAGTTCACCAGAGCCGGGCCACTCAGGTCGCCGGGTTATGACGCTGTATGTGGAGGCGGGGTCAGAGCAGGGAAATGGCGGCGCCCTCTGCTGCTGCTCGCCACTGGGGCCTGCTGGGTCCTGTCTAACCGCCCACTCCCTCGCTGGTCTATCTGCGCATGAATGTGCGACCACAGTCAGATCTTGGCCCTGCTCCCTTGCTGGTTCCCCACGGTCGCTCGCTGGGTCGCTCACTAGGTCCACCCGTTGCAACCCTGCACCTGGGTTCCGCGTGCCTGAGTCCGTTTGACCGAGTTTTCTTGTGCAACCCTGCTCTGCTAGCTGCTGGTTTCGCCCCTCTTACCGGTCAGGCAGAAGAATTTGTTGTTATCAGACTTCCAAAAAGTTCAATTTTCTGTGTTCTGGCTGTGTTTTCTGTTGCTAATATTTAGTTGACTCTAAACTTGGTTGTGTGAAAAAGCAAGGCATCTCCACCTATGCCTCCATCTCGGTGGAAGTCCAAGAATATAGATTTCTTAATGTTGAACCACCCTTGCATTTCCATTCCTAGTTGAATCTGACTTGTTCATGATGAATATATTTTTTAAAGATTTTATTTATTCATCTTTAGAGAGAAGTGAAGAGAAGGAGAGTGAGAGGGAGAGGATCATCAGTGTGTGGTTGCCTCTCATGTGCCCTGTACCAGGGACCTTGTTACCAGGGACCTGGCCTGCAACCCAGGCATACACCCCGACTGAAAACCAAACTGGCGGCCCCCTGGCTCGCAGCCCGTGCTCAATCCACTGAGCCACACCAGCCAGGGCTGAATATTTCTTTATAATATACCACTGAGGGATTGGCTTTGCTCTCTTACTTAGGAGGTTTGCCTCAGTTTCGTCAATAGGAGTGGTCTTTAGTTTTCTTTTTTGGAACAATTTTTTTTGTTGAGTTTTGCTATAAATGTTATGCTTAATTACTTCATGAAGAAAACAGAGAATTTCCTTCCTTCTCTGTGCTTTGTAAGAGTTTAACTAGGAATGGGTTCCCTGTCCTTTAAAGATCGGTTGACCCTCCATCGAATAGTCTGGGTAGTGCATTTATTTGGCGTGGATGGGCAGCTCTTTGGTAATACTTTCTTTTGTAATAATGTATCTGTTTTCATTGTTCTGCTTCTTGAATGAGTTTGGTAAATTATATCTCTCTAGAAAAGTATTCATTTCATCCAGGTTTTCGAATTTCTTTGCATGAGGTTGAACAAAACAATATACAATGCTTTTAATGATTAATTCACCCTTATTTCTTAGATTGTGTATTTTGTAGTTTTTCCCCCCATTTTTTTTTCTAATTGTTAGTTAGCTGATGAGGTTATCCTTTCCCTTGTCCCAAAGATCCATATTTAGGATTTATTAGTAATTACCCATTTTTGGTTTCTAATTCATTCATTTATGCCTTTATATTTACTGAAATCTTTTTTAATTTCTTGAGTTAGAGGCTTAAA